CCATCGAGTCAGTTCCAACCCATAGCGAACCCTTAAAGTATAGGATTTCTGAGGAGCTACTGATGAACTTGAACTGCCGACATTACGGTTCAAACAAGTTTGCAGTGTGTTGTTAAGCTAAGTGGATGGGGTTGGTGAGGGAACTTCAAGTCTAACTTCTTACCAGACTTTCAGATCAAATCACCTTGCTCTCTTCTGACCACCATTTCCTTTAATATTCATTGCCTCCAATTTCTGAGCAGTGCTAAAGTTCCACAGGTGGTTGACTTCTGCTTACCTCCTAGGCACCAGGTTTGAAGGTCCTCCACTGTGCAAAACCACTGCCCACCCTCCATCTCATAGACTGTGGTTCGGAGTTACAGATGAGATACGGGGTTTGTGTTCTTGAAATCAGAAATCTGTCCCCACCCCTTCCCTTTTTTCAGTTTTTCTTAGGAAGAAAAGAAGATGACTGGTGTTTAATAAGAACTGGAAGCAATAAATGAATTATAAGATAAAGCAACTGTGAGGACTTGCTTTTGCTGTTAGCTTACTGTGTCTGTAAAACTCCTGCCTTAGGATCTCTGCTAAGCACCTTCCATATAGTATGTGTCATCCTAGCAATAGTCCCAGAAGGCAATGATTTCCATCTACATGTGACCATGAGGAATCTGAAGCTCAGTAGGCTTAAGAAGCCAACCCAAGGTCATATCCTTGGCTCTTGAAATGACAGAGGCAGAATTTTAACCAGATTTGCTTGGCAGCAAGAACTAAAATTTTCTGGGAAATGCAGCTTTCTCTCATTTTTAAAAGTCTCTGATTAGGCATCGTGGAGGCAACTATACAAGGGAAAGCCCAAGTGAATCTTAGAAATTGACCTTTGCATTGAAACAAAGCTTTACATAGCTCTTATCTACTCTCTTGGGAACGCAGCGGTTCCATATGATAAGCCCTGGATGTGAACCATAAGTTGGAGCCCACCAGCTGCTCCGTGGGGGAAAGATGACGCTTTCTGCTCCCCTAAGGATTTATGAGTAGGAACTCACTCAGAGGCACTTAACAACAACCAAGCAATTACAAATCAACTCTCTTAAGGAGCCCTGATAGGGAAGTAAGTGACAAGCTAGGCTGCTAACTACAAGGTCCACAGTTCAAATGTCCCAGTTACTCTGTGGAAGAAAGATGAGGCTTTCTGCTCCTGTAAAAATATTTTACAGCCTTGGAAACCCTGTACAGGCTCATTATGAGTCAGAACTGACTCCACGGGCACACAACCACCACCACCATCTCTCTTGACCTTCCAAGATCCCTTCTAGTTCTATAGGCAGGTTTTGGTTTTGTTATTTTTTGTCAGATATAGTACTTCTGCTGTCTCCCTCCCCTTCATGGTTAATTTACCCTTCCAAAAGAGCTCACACACACCTGGATCATAGGATTTATTTCTGGCTGCACCATCCATGGTTATTATGATTTTGTATTGTGTGTTGAAACTCAGGGTACTCAGGGGAAACTTTCCTGGCTTCCCTGGTCGCCAGATGGTCACCCTTACTATGTGGTGGTGATGGTTATGTACCATCAAGTTGTTTCTGACTTACCGGGACCCTGTAAAGGGTTCCCGAGACTGGAAAATCTGTACAGGAGCAGAAAACCTCTTCTTTCTCCCAAGGAGCAACTGGCAGATTTGAACTGCTGACCTTGAGGTTAGCAGCCCAACACTTAACCCACTACACTACCAGGGCTCCTTCCCTTTCTATGTAACCACTAACTAATCACCTCTTACCCTTGCCAAAAAAGAGAAGAGTGTTTGCATTTGGAAAACCAAGCTGCAACACATGAAGCATTTTAAGAATGACTGCACGTCTGGTACACATGTGAATTTCCCCATCTTAGTTTGTTTTTCTTGAAGATAAAAAGCACACAGTCCACTTTGTCCTGAAGTCTAACAAGTACCTGGGTTTACATAACAAGGAGATTTCACTGTGGCTATCCCAAGCTACATTAGACTTAAATGACATCATAAGTAGTCTCGGAAATAGTATAAAACATGCAGTGGCGTGTACAGCCAGTGTTTATTTTTTTATGCTTTGGAATATTTTATTATTTATTTTAAATGGCAGTATATGATTGATAAGTGTTTAACATGCAAGATAAGGACGATTCCCAGGCGCAGGGGCAAGGGGATGGGGTAGTGAGTTTGGGGAAGGCAAGAGCGTGCCCTCCTCTCAGAACTCATGCAGAGCTGGGAGCAATTTTGCAATGAAAAAAAAAAAAAAAACAAGCATAAAGAAGAAGTTAATTCTTAGCTTAGTAGGTATTTGAATGACACATTTTCATCACGAAGCTCAGATTTTTCTCCTTACAGAATCCCAGATTGATCACTTCATTAACCATTGAGTTTCATGAAAACATAAATAGCAGGTTACTTCTGGTTCCATTGTGTGAGCAGTACCAAATTTACTGTCTTGGATGTGGGAAAGAGAGGTTGGAAGGATTGTATCTTTTTGTAGGAACTTTAAAATGCCATGGAACATCTCACAGGCTACCTTAAATGTTGTTAAGTGCAGTCAAGTCGTTTCCAACTCATTGTGACCCAGTACAAGGTTTCTGAGAAGCGGCTGGTGAGCTTGAACCGCTGTCCTTCTGGTTCAACCCGACCTTGCAGTCCAGCGCATTAACCCCACAGCGCCACACCAGGACTCCACACCTTAGATACCGAAATTTAATTCGAAACAGACAAATAGAACCACATGCTTAAATGTGGGGATAGACTTTAGGCATAAGTATCAAAAACACATGTGTTTCTTTTTTATCCGACTCTCTCATGAATCACTGGCATTTCTAATCACCCCGAGAACTGTTCTTCCTCTTAAGAGTTTTCTGTGGGGCAGCCTTGAGTAATACGGTAAGCACAAACCGTAAAATTTTAATGAATACGCTATTAAGTCAGTTTCTATTGATGGTTAGGGGCTTGGACTTTGTTAAACCATGGAAAACTAGGCACGGTTTCAATTTCACGGAATGAAAGGTAGATCTTCTACCACTGTTACAAATAATCTTCATCATAAACTTATCCCCCAGGGGCTCCTCTTGTCATATAAAATTATAAGTTAGTTGGAGATGCTGGAAAATGATGCCTGGCGGGGCAACGCTGGACATTACCACCCATCATTCATTTGCGTGAACAAAACACACACACACTAGGGTAGGTCAAAAGGTGCTGCTGCAAAACCACAGAAACCTTTATTAAACAAAAAAATATCAAACTATGAAGTTATTGCTTCTCGACCTAGCCTCCATCCAAAGGTGATATTTCTTTCCATCTCTCTAATGGTGTAGCGCAGTGGGCTAATGCGCTGGACTGCAAAGTCATTTGAACCACAAGGTCGGTGGTTCAAGCTCACCAGCAGCTCCTTGGGAACTTTATACAGGGTCACTATGAGTTGGAAACAACTCGACGGCACTCAATAACAACAATCTTTTCCTGAAGTATACTGCACTCTTCAATTTACACCACATAAGAACAGCAGTTTGGGTATCCTCCAGAAACTCTAATTGTGTTGCTTTGCAGGATTATGTGATTTGGAAGAACAAAATGAAGTATGAAGCAGCAATATCAGGATTATGGGGTGGATGGGGTAAGCTTTCCCAAAAGAATTCTCATAAAACAGCCTTTGGTAGCCTCAAAGAATGAGCAAGTATATTGTCGTTAATGAAAAAAAAGTTTCTTGGCACAACTTTCCTGCCCTTTTTCTCACCAATGCAGTTTTCTATTTTCCCAAAACTTCTCCATAGCAAAAGCCTTTGTGAGCATCCTGTGTCCTTTGCAAAAATCTATCAAGAGTGCCCAATTGTTTCTGCTGCCATTGTTGTTCGGTGCTGTGAAGACAGTTTCAACTCTTAGCTTCTCCATCATCTCTTCCCACAGATGTAATCGATATGATTTCTGTGTAATGCATGTGAGGTGCATTATGTAGTTGGAGAAAGTGTTTGCAACGAATAAGTAATTTGTCTTGCAAAATTCTAGTATGAAAAAAAAATTTTTTTTAATTCTATTATGTGATCTCCACCATAATTTCCATCACTAAGGTCATATTTTCCAATTACTAATCCTCCCTCTGTTTCCAACTTTTGCATTCCAATTACCAGTAATTATTATTGCATCTTAATTGCATGTTTGATCGATTTCAGACTGAAGAAATGAGTAGCACTCTTCAATTTCTTCATCATGGACTGTAGTGATTGGTACATAAATTTGAATAATAGTGGCATTAACTGGTTTTCCTTGCAGGTGAGTGGATATTATCCTATCATAGACAGCATTGTACTTCAAAATAGATCTTGAAGTTCTCTTTTTAAGGATGAAGGTGACGCCATTCCTCTTCAATTAGCTGTTTCTGTAAATGTAAATCATATGCTTGTCATATGTGCTAGGAAGCCTACCTGCAGAAGCAAAGGGGGAGAAGGGAACTGGTGGTCAGGCCACCCAAAGACCTCCCAATTTTACCAGATGTCATGGCAGCATGTCATTTTACGTCACACCACAGTGTCATACATTGTGTGTCCAAAAGGACATCCTGCTATTGGAAGAAGTGGTTGTGTGGTTTGATCTTATTTTTTACATTTAATCTCAGATTGACTTAAAATTCCTCCACAATTACTGTGCTTTATGCCTTCATGTTTCCCAGGAACAATTTATTTCTTTCAAAGATGGAAAAAAAAAAAAAAAAAAAAGCCCTATAGGTTTAATCTAACCTATAGAGATAGAGTAATCCCAGTCCTGGTGTGGTGCTGAGTTCATGTGCTGCACTGCAAAGTCACTTTGAACCTCAAGGTTGGTGGTTCAAGCTCACCAGCCACTCCTTGAAAACCCTATACAGGGTCGCTATGGGTCAGAAGTGACTCAACGACACTTAACAACATAGATTCATCCATAGGTTTAATCTAACTTGTAGGTTAATCCATAGATTTAATGTATTTTAAACTTTTAAACATTTAAAATACGTTTTTTGTTTGTCTCTTAGGAAAAAGTGCTGCAAAGGGTATAAATTTGTTCTTGGACAATGCATCCCAGAAGGTATGTAATATAGAGATGGAGATACAAATTATGGCTTCCCGCTTTATCCACTGGTATGGCACTATATAGTATAAGTACTGGACTGCAAACCATAAGGTCAGCCGTTGAAATCCACCAGCTGCTCCTTAGAAACCATATCCAGGGTGGCTATGAGTCGGAATCAGTGGAACTTAAAAACAACAACTTTGTTCATTATCAGTCATTGTTGTTGTTGTTAAGTCCCTTTGAGTTGGTTCCACTCATAGCAACCCTATATAGGGTTTCCGAGGGTTTAACTCTTCCCAGAAGCAGAACGCCTCATCTTTCTCCCACAGAGCAGCTGGCAGGCTCGAACCACAGAGCCAGTGGTTCCTAGTCCAGTGTTTATTGTAAAATTTATATAGTTCAGTTGTGCATGAAATATGTGTGTGTTGCACGTGTCTAATTAACTGTGCATGTGTGTATATATGTATAAATTTCCCCTTGACATGAAAGTCTTCTAATTTGGTTGTATGTCACGCACTCTAATAATAACACAACACGTGCACACACAGGGAGTCATTCTTGTGTTTCGGACTCTATGCTCCGATTCCCTAATCAGCATTCCATCTATCCTCAGTTAGAACACAACTGGCTCCTTCCCAACTCTCTATCTACTGTACGTGTCCTAAACATAAGCCTCCCTCACGTCACCAGCATCCACTGACTGAGTGCTCCTCCCAGCACGGGGCTAGAGACATGCGTGATTGGAACCCAGCCCTTAGGTGCTTGCAGCCAGGCTGGGAAGACCAGATAAGGACAGTGTGCAATCAGAGAGATTAGGACTATAATCATGCTTCTATTGCTACTAAGGAGTCCTGGTGTGGCGCTGTGGGTTAATGCACCAGACCGCAAAGCCATTTGAACTGCAAGGGCGGCGGTTCAAGCTCACCAGCTGCTCCTTGGAAATCTTATAAGGGTCGCTATGGGTCAGAATCGACTCAACAGCACTTAACAACAACAACCTCTACTAAGAAGCTCTGGTAACGTAGTGGTTATAAGTCAGGCTAACCTCAAGGCTAGCAGTTCAAAACTACCAGCCATTCCACAGGCGAAAGATGAGGCTTTTTGCTCCTGTAAAGATTTACAGCCTTGGAAACCCTCTACAGGGTCACTGTAAGTTGGAACTGACTCCACAGCACATAGCCACCACCACTACCTCTTACTAGCTATGATCCATGGCAAGTTGCTCTTGAAACCTTAGCTGTGTGTTTATTTGTTTTCAGGAAAATGTTAGTATTTGATTCTTAGGGTTATTTTTAAGAATTGTCTGACATGTACTTGGAACAGCTGGCTCTTAGGGAACCCAAACTTAAATCTATTGCCATCGAGTCAATTCCTACTCACAGTGACCCTCTGCGACAGAGAAGAACTGCCCCAGAGGGCTTCCATGGCTGCCAAATCTTTCTCCCAAGGAGTGCCTGGTGCATTTGATTTGCCGACCTTGTAGTTAACAGCCAAACCGTTGAGCTACTTGACTTACTGGGTGCTCAACGAAGGATGGGTGTTTTTATTGCTACTCGTGTTGTTGTCAATAATAGCTGCAGTATGTGCTCCATGTGTAACTTCGTTGAAGATTAAAGACTGTAGTATGGTGGATTGCATTCTAAATCTAGACAGAACAAAATTTCTCATGACTGGACTAAGTAAATAACATCATGATTTACGGACCAAAGATTGAAGTTGTCAAAGACTACATTTTGCTAGGATCCACATTCAATAGTCATAATAGCAGCCATCAAGAAGTCAAATGAAATGCATTAGGCAAATCTCAAGATCGCTTTAAAGTGTTCAAGAGCAAAGATGTCAGTTTGAGGTCTAAGGTGCACCTGATCCAAGCCATGGTATTTACAACCACCTCATATGCATCTGTAAGTTGGACAATGAATAAGGAAGACCAAAGATGAATGGATGCATTTGAGTTATGGAATTGGTGAAGAATATTGAAAGTACTTTGAAATTCCAGAACAACAAACCAATCTGTCTTGAAAGAAATACAGCCAGAATGCTCCTTCAAAGCAAGGACAGAAAGACATCATATTTTGTACTTTGGACTTGTTGTCGGGAAGGAACAGCCCGTGGAAAAGAGCATCATGCTTGGTAAAGTGGAGGGTCAGTAAAAGAGGAAGACTCTCAACAAGATGGAGTCACACAATGGCAGCAACAATGGACTCAAACCAATTGTAAGGATGGTGTAGGAATGGCAGCGTTTCATTGTGTTGTATGTCTGGTCGCTATGAGTCGGAACCATTGGACAGCACCTAACAACAACATATGTACTAGACACATTTTATGTAGCAGGGGTACCGAGCGGTGCCAAACAGAGGACCAGGACAATTGGGGGCTTCTCAAACATACAATCAAGATGTATTATAATTGCTGGTGATTGGAATGCAAAGGTTGGAAACAAAGAGGAAGCATCAGTAGTTAGAAAATAGAACATCGGTGTTAGAAACAATGCTGGAGATCACATGATAGAATTTTGCAAGACCAATGACTTCTTCATTACAAATAACCTTTTTAAAACGGTGTAAAGCATGACTAAACACATGGGCCTCACCAAATGGCATGCACAGAAGTAAAATTGACTACATCTGTGGGAAGAGACAGTGAAAAAGCTCCATATCATCAGCCAAAACAAGGCCGGGGGAAACTGTGGAACTGACCATCAATTGCTCATATGCCAGTTCAGGCTGAAGCTGAAGAAAATTAAAACAAGTCCACAAGAAACAAAATTTGACCTGGAACATATTCCACCCAAATTTAGAGATCATCTCAAGATTTGATACATTAGACATTAATGACCAAAGACCAGAAGAGTTGGGGGGGTGACATCAAGAATATCATATGGAAAGAAAGAAAAAGCTCATTTAGAAGACAAGAATGGATGTCAGAAGAACCTCTGAAACTTGCTCTCTAGCATAGAGATGCTAAGGCAGATAGATGGAAGAACTGAGAAAATAAAAGCTGAACAGAAAATTTCAAAGGGCAGCTTGAGAAGACAAAGTCAAGTGTTATAAAGATGTGTGCAAAGACTTGGAATTAGATAACCAAAAGGGAAGAACACACTCAGCATTTCTCAAGCTGAGGGAACTGGAAAACAAATTCCAGCCTCGACTTGCAATATTGAAAGATTCTATGGACAATACATCAATGATGCAGAAAGCATTAAAAGAAGATGAAACAAATACAGAGTCCCTATACCAAAAAGAAATGGACAATACTCAACCATTTCAAGAGGTCGCATATGATCAAGAGCCAATGCTACTGAAGGAAGAAATCCAAGGTGCATTGAAGACATTTGCAAAGAACAAGGCTCCGAGAACTGATGGAATATAAATTGAAATCTGTCAGCAAACTGATGCAGCACTGGAGGCACTCACTCATCTCTGTCAAGAAATTTAGAAAACAACTACCTGACCAACTGATTGGAAGAGATCCATATTTGTGCCCATTCCAAAGAGAGGTAACCCAACAGAATACGGAAATCATCGGACAATATCATTAACATTACATGTAAGTAAAATTTGCTAAAGATAATTCAAAAATGGCTACAATAATACATTGGCAGGGTACTGCCAGAGGATCAAGTCAGATTCAGATGAGGACATGGAAAGAAGGATATCACTGCGGAAGTCAGGTGGATCTTGGCTGAAATCAGAGAATACCAGAAAGATGTTTACCTGTGCTTTATTGACTGTACAAAGGTTTTGGACTGTGTGAACAAGCTATGGACAACACTGCAGAGAGAGTATTCTGGAAGACTTAGCTGTGCCTGTGAGCAACCTAATCATAGACCAAGAGGCGATCTTTCAAACAGAACAAAGGGACACTGCATAGACTAACGTCAGGACAGGTGTGCAGCAGAATTGAATTCTTTCCTCATACTTATTCAATCTTTACACTGTGCAAATAATCCGAGAACCTGGATTATATGAAGAAAAATATGCCATCAGGCTGGAAGGAAGTCTCATTAACAACCTTCAATATGCAGATGATACTACCTTGTTTGCTGAACGTGAAGAGGACTTAAAATATTTACTGATGAAGATCACAGACCATAGTCTTCAGTATGGGTTTCACCTCAGTATAAGCATAAATCCTCACCACTGGACCAACAAATAACATCATGATAAGTGGAGAAAAGATTGAAGTTGTCAAGGACTTCATTCTTCTTGGATCAACTATCAACACTTAATGGAAGGAAGCAGCAGTCAAGAACTCAAAGGACATCCTGCCTTAGGCAAATCTGCTGCACAAAAAAAGACCTCTTCAGAGTGTTTAACAGCAAAGATGTCAGTTTGAGGACTAAGGTGGTGGTTCGCTGGTCGACCCGAGTCTCCGCAGACAAGACCGAGTGTGTCTTCCGGAGATGGGCCCCTGGGGCACACCAGTCGGGTGTCTGTTGTGGTTGACCTCGTGTCTCTTCTGGAGGGGCCAGTGCCAGCCATGGTATTTTCAATAGCTTCATTTGCATGTGAAAGCTAGACAATGAATAAGGAAGACCGTAGAAGAATTGATGCGTTTAAGTTATGGTGTTAGAAAAGAATATTAAAAGTATCATGGCCTGACTGCCATGAAGAACAAACAACTCTGTGTTGGAAGAAATACAATCCTTGGAAAATGCTCCTTGGAAGCTAGGATGGGGAGACTTCATCTCTCATATTATCAGACATATTATCAGGAGAGAGCAGTCCCTGGAGAAGGACATCATGCTAGGTAAAGTGGGAGGTCAACAAAAAAGAAGACCCTCAATGAGATGGATTGGCACAATGGCAGGAGCAGTGGTGTCAAGCTTAACCACGACTGTGAGATTGACACAGGCCCAGGCAGTGTTTCATTCTGTTGTGCATAAGGTCACTCACTATGAGTTGGAACTGTCTCCATGGCACCTAACAGTAACAACAGGTAGATGGGAGACATAAGCTAGGTCATGAGGAAGGCAGCCCAGGAAATGAGTTTGTCCGGGCCTGGAGTTGGGGTGGTGGGTGGGTAATGTGGGTAATATGAAACTGTTTTCTTCTCTGTTGCTTGAAAATCCAGGTCTCTCTAGATGCTCTTCAATCAGGCTAAACTGGTTCATGGTTTAGCATCTAAGGAGCCCTGGTGGTACAGCTGTTAAGCACGCAGCTTCTAACTGAAAGGTTGTTAGTTCAAACGCATTCAGCAGCTCTATGGGAGAAAGAACTAAAGATCAGCTTCCAGAAAGATGACGCATAGAAAACCTGTCAAGGATCAATTCTATTGTCACGTAGTGTCACTGTGAGTTGGAACCAACTCACCAGCACCTAACAACAAGAACAACAGAAAGTATCTATTTGTCATTTAGAAATAAATGAATCACTTCTGCTGCCTGTCCTCCTCCTGGGAAGGATGAAAGAGTTCATTGCCCCATAACTGTACTTGCAGAAAGAAGCCAAAATCCTTCACATCTGGCCCTGCATCCGAAGGCTGAATTTTTCACTGCCAGCCAGTTCTGTTGGCTAAAGCCTGTTGGGGGAAAACACACACACAAGTCAAAATAATTGCATTCCTTTCTCAACCAGCTTTTCTCTTTAACCAGCTGTGCCCTTTATATTAATGTTTGGCAGATATCAATAGAAACCCAAGTTTAGGCAATTGATTTAAGGTCCCAAGTAAAGTCCTTGCCCAACCTGATTAAAAACACATTACATGGATACCACATGCTTAGTGTTCCTTTCAGTGCTAGAGATCGTGATTTCAAATGTCTAGGCTTACAACCAGTCTCCCTCACCCGACGTGAGAAGATGGCCCGTATGATTAATATAACCTAGACCGGAAGAACAATGCCAGGAAAGGTGGTCTCCAGTGCTGGAAGGTGCTTTGCTATAACCAACTCTAGTGCATGAATAAGTCTATTGGTTTTGTTTTTGTGTTTGTTTGCTTTAGCTATGTCTAGTCATCAAAGGAGCCCTGGTGGGGCAGTGGGTAAAGTCCTGGACTGCTAACCAAAAAGGTCAGTAGTTTAAGCTCACCAGCTGCTCCATGGGAGAAAGACGTGGCAATCTGCTTCCATAAAGACCACAGCCTTGGAAAACATATGGGGCAATCTAGTCCATCCAATAGGGTCACTGTAGGATTGCTAGGGACAATCTACTCCATCTAACAGGGTCACTATAAGGTCACTAGGGACAATCTACTCCATCCAATAGGGTCACTATAGGGTCGCTAGGGACAATCTACTCCATCCAATAGGGTCACTGTAGGGTCGCTAGGGACAATCTGTTCCATCCAATAGGGTCGCTAGGGACAATCTACTCCAGCCAATAGGGTCACTATAGGGTCACTAGGGACAATCTACTCCATCCAATAGGGTCACTATAGGGTCGCTAGGGACAATCTGCTCCATCCAATAGGGTCACTATAGGGTCGCTAGGGACAATCTGCTCCATCCA